CCCCAAAACCCCAAAACCCCAAAACCCCAAAACCCCAAATGAATAAAATATAATTGAATTTTAGAAGAGATGATGAGTAAAGCCATAGATAAAAGCTTTAAGAAGGATAAATGTAAGACATCATTGGGCAAATAAGTGGTTGAGGTAGGCTCAACCTAAAATGTTAACCTTTAAAACTCTTTTCTCTCTTTATTAACATTGCCATGGTCTTAACGAAGTTTCTAGCGATCAGGTTTGAAACAAGGGAGTTGAAAGGGTCTCCAAGACTCCACTATAGTGTAGGAAGGTCAAATCAGAATTATGATAGCTTCAATCGTAAGCCCAAAGATCTTTTTTTATAGTATCCAAGGTCAAGAAGCCCAAGAGTCAGCATGGAGGAAAATAAAAGAATGAGTACTCTCTATGTAAGCTCCCTTTATCAATCCTTTCATAGAAGGCTATGTCCAGGAAAGAGGTTGAAAGTCCAACTCATAAGAATAAGGTATGGCTTAGTTCTAATTTTAGAACAAGTTGATCAGCAAAATTTATCATCAAATTAAGGAAGCTAGATTTAACAGAAATGATCTTCAATCCTTTGCTAATAAGTATGATTAAAAATGTTATCACTTGAGGATTTGGTTGTAAATTGTTAAATCAACAACCAATCAAGAACTGAACCCGATATCGGATTCTGACGTTCTCATAACTCTTGAGGATTTTGGATAATTCTTAAGCAAAGCCATTAAGGTGTTAGTATCTATAACAAAAGTTACATTTTATGTATAGTCAAATCAAGACTCACTCAGGGTATAAAAGACCTCAAACTTCGAAATAAAATAGCCGAGAAGATGAGGTACTACTACTCTCCTTACTCAAACAAGCTAAACTGTGGAAGTTACATGGTTTTTGATGATAAATAGTGATGAGAAAGGATTAAAGCCTGCTGTAAGTGCACTATAACTTCTCACCGAAACTTGCTCTAATTCAGTGATCTCTTAATTTTTAATTTCTTACTTGCTAAGATAATAAAAGAAATAGGGTTTTAAGGCTCTAAATGACAGTCTTCAAGGAAATGCTGTTGAAAAATGGAAGCTAGTGTCTCAGTTCATTGACACGCTAACTCCAGAGTACTATCAAGCTGTAAGTCAAATCTTCATCTCTCTAGGGAAATATCAGCTGTGAGGAGCATAGCCTTAGTAGTAATAAGAAGAAGCATAAAGCAAAATAAGAGAAATGAGAATAGAAGGTTCACTAAAATTAATTCGTATTAATTTGTTGCTTATTATAGGCTTAGGAAGAACCACTACAAATAGCTCCTCTAAAGCGTATAAATTTGTGTAAGACTATAGGCTCCTGGATAAGCCAAATGTATCAGTGACTGCTATTAAATAAAAATAACAGCCACTTCTTTGAGAGAGTATGGGTGCAGTATTGACTTTTAGATCAATAGTGAAGATCTCAACTTCAGGACTATTAACAGGAACAATAATTTCTTTAATCTGGAAGATGAGTCTTCTATGAACTTGATTAAAGGTACTACATATCATACTGCAAATTTTAACAGTTTTAGAGGAGACTCCATATGTACATAAGTCAGACAAAACTCTGAAGCTCCCAGAGCGTCCCAGGAACAGCACCCCAGCTATAAAAACAGACTCAACACTTTCTAGATGTAATAGGAAGAGTAGTGAGGCTTTTGAAAATCCTCCCAGAACTCATGTTTAAAAATCAAAGTTAAAAAGTAAGTTTTCCATCTGATCTTCTAGGCTAAAGCAGAGACCCTCTACCTCTAAGAAGGGCGAGGTTGATTACAAGCAGTTTGCAAAGAATTTAGGATATGTCCAGATGAAATTCAGTAAGATTTTACATTTCATCGCCAGATTTCTGCAAGAAACCATCACAGAACCCCCCAGCTCCGAAGAACAGGAGATTGGTCAGGAACAGGAAACGAGAAGCTCATGAGAAGGCAAGCAGGGAGCGGAAAATGTATTTTCAAATATCTAATACTGTAGTCAATTCTTTAAAATCTCTGATGATCCCCGAATGAAAGGGAATTACTCTAGAAGCATCTCTGAAGCAGAAAAGGAGGCCTGGGCTACATTCTATAAATATGGATTACCAGTAAGCTCTTAGACGATCTTTTAGCTAAAAATATTGACAGATTCTTGCTAGATCACACCTCTGGGGTCAAGCTTTCTGAAGACTAATACATGAGTTAATATTTGTCAGAAACAATATATGATATTAATGCAAAATACCTTATTTTTGGGGTTTTGGGGTTTTGGGGTTTTGGGGTTTTGGGGTTTTGGGG